CCAAGATCTTTTATAAAAATTTGAGCGTAACCCAATAATAAAATCAAAAGTTATGGTCATTTTGACTCATTATTTTAGTTTGGTATGACTAAATCTTCTTTTAGACCTAGGTCTATCTCATTGGTTTATAAATTTATTTTCTAAACCATACGTGTAATATGTTTGGAGTATATTCTCATCTAATTATATCATACCCATATATTTACTATTTGGAATCACTCGTAAGAACCACTATGTGAACAATAACTTTTTTTATATTTTAATTAGAGTTTCTTTTTGAATCTACAAGTTGCACAAAGATATATTTTGTTTACTTATAAAACATAATTGGAAGAAAAACTCATAAAATTCATAAAGCACGATATGTTTAAATATCGTTATTCTGAATTGTGATAATATAAAAATATGTTATATTTTTTAAATGGTATTATTCTACCAAAAGTTTTAATTTATTTTCCGTGATTCATGTTCTCCTCTCCTCCAAATCAATGGCAGCCATTGCTCACTAATAAGATATAAACCATAGTTATCAGACCCGACCTGGGAGTTGACCTGATCAAGAAGTTGGGTCCCAAGTTACATGGCTTGATCGAGTCAACTTGAATCAACCTGAAAAAATTAAAAAATATATTTGAAGTTTTAATACTTCATATTATAAATAATAAAATTTAAAATATTATTTTAAAAGATTTTTTATCCAATATTTAAAAAGTATTATGTTATTATACTATTTTTTTAAGTTGTAGTATTTAAATTAAAAAGATTTTTTATTACACATTGAAAAAACATAATTTTTTTTATTGTGAACAAAAAGTGTATATATTAAAGAGTTTTAAATCCTTGGAAAATAAAATATTCATTCAATTTTTATATAATAAACTTTAAAAATTGTTAATAATTAATTAAATATATATATATATATAAAAAGATGAGTCTTTAATTAGAAGGAGAAATACATTTAAAAAAAATTGAATCTCAACCAGGTTTTATCAAGTTTTTTTCATCCTAATCTTTTATTTTACTCCAACTAATTCAGTAATTGGATAAATTAAATCTTGGATAAACTTTCCAGATCGGTTCTAATTTAATAACTATCCAAGAACATAAAAAAAATGTGTTTGTTATATTATCATTATTAAGTAAGCAGAAACCCATTGACATTTTGTTTACAAACTTGACAAAATTGCACTCACAGAACCAAATTTTGCGGGCGAAAAAGAAAGAAAGAAAAACTGTCCCCGTATTCGGGTCCTTCCTATACATGCAGGCAACTGACCTATCAATCATGTGTCTGATTCGATTGACAAAAGGATAGTTATTTTTGCATATTAGTAATTTAAAAAAAAAATATGGGTGAAATATCATTATCTATATATATATATTGAAATTAAAAAACACGACATTCCAGCTTGTTATTATTTTGAATCATGACATCTTTTTTAAAAAAAAATATGGAATAAGCTGCACATGACTGGAGAAGAGAGAAGAAAAGGAAAAGAAAAGAAAATTAAAAATATTAAAAATATATCAAAATTTTGATTGTAACACCATCAATATCTATAAAAATACTTTAATAAAACAAATCTAATAATACAAAAAAAATCACTACTAATGATCTAAATGGGCTATACCTATCGCCAAAAATAAATAAGTCATTAACCATTTTTAGGTGATAAATATAACTCATTTAAATTACAGTTAATGATATTTTTTTATATTATTAAATTTATTTCATCAATATTTATCTAACAATACCTGTAGTGTTATAATAAAAGTTTTGGTGTATCTTCATGATCCTTTTTTTTAATTATTTCTTTCTTTTTCATTACAAATAAAAAACAAAAGAGTAAAAAAATCTTGAAAATATATCAAAACTCTAATTATAACATCATTAATATAATCAAAAATATTTTAATAAGATAAATTCAACAATACCAAGAATATCACTAATAATAACCCACGCAAGTCATACTTACTTCTAAAAGCAAATGATCCATTTGTCCCTTTTAAGAGACAAGTATAATTTGCCCAGTTTATTATTATTGATATTTTTATTATTATTTAATTTATCTTGCTAAGATTTTTATCAAAAATTTTATGGTAATATTATAATAAAAACTAGGTTAAGATTTTTATGGTAATATTATAATAAAAACTAGTGTAGCTTGAAGGTTTTTTTTCTTTTTATATATAACTTATTTCATAATTTTTTTAAAATATCATAATTCAAAATAATGACCACTTAAACCATCACGATTCCAAACAGTGACAAGCGTGAATGCCTCATTTTCATACAGTGATATGTACAAGCAACCAATGTTATTTTGTTAATATATTTTTTTAAAAATCATTCTCTCCCTAAAAATGTTATTTTGTTAATATATTTTTTTTAAAATCATTCTCTCCCTAAAATTGCACTGGTTTAAATCATTCTCTCCCTAAAATTGCACTGGTACAATAATATTTATATAAAAAAAAAATCCTGTAACTGCCACACGTGTCTCTGATGTAAAAATTAAAGCACTGCAAAAAAAATAAAACTAAAGCCATGAAAAACAATAATAATACCAGCTTCACGTGAACACATGTCAGTGACCTCCCTGCAAGTTTTCAGTTACCAGCACACAGCCCCCCCAAGATTCACCACCCACCATATCCGTACCCTTCTTTTCCTTTTTAGCCTTTCAGAAATTTTTACGACAGTAGAAAGATAGGCCACACCTTTTGCTTTCATGTTTTTGTTAGGCCCAAGAACTGAGTCAAACACGCTATCTCTCTATCTGTATGCATGTATGTATGCAATTTGAGATGCATAAACTCAACTCGGGCTGTCTCCCGCCACTCAGACACCACCACCCAATGTACCCTCCACGTGGGGGCTCTGTACAATCCCTTTCTTTTTCTTGGCTCTCTGCAACTATAAACTGCAGCAGCTACCGTCCACTCGCTAGCAGACACGCCACCCCACTACACCTGCAATACCCGATCCAATCTAATAATATTCATAAATCATTGTTCTTCTAACTCGCACTGTTCCCTCCCCCAGCTAGCCTGAGAGGGACACCCACTATTTTATCTGGCCTTTTTTTTTAAAAAAAAAAACTATTATTACTGTCTACTACGGCAATAAATGTAACAAATACAAGAAAACAAATGGCAGGCGCCGCTTAGCAGGGCCGTACATCTGGGGGTTTGCTTGGTTTCTAGGGCTGACATCATCATTACCGCCCTTTATGTGTAGTCACAAGACACACACGTTGAGTTCTGTAAGACGCGCTCTTCCCTCTCATGTCTAATCAGGCGGCGGCTATGATATTCAATTGTTCTTTCTTTTTATTTATTATTTTAAAAGCTTGTAGGACCCATATTAAGTATTGTACGGTGTGATCATATGACTTGTTTTTAAAATAATATATTATAAAAATAATTTAAAAAATAAAAATTTCAAGCTAGATATAAATAAATAACCCTAGAGACTAGTGCTAATGATAACTCGTTTCTTCAGATATTCACGTGTGTATCCTTCCTTGATAGAATCTAAGGACCGAGAGCTAGTCTTTTGGCAAAATGAATGGGTGAGTGGGAACATAGAATTATTTGTGGAATAGGGCCATCCCCTTCCACCGGCTAAGTGTGATTTTGTTATTTTAAAAGTATTTTATTAAAAAATATTAAAATATTTTTTTATTTTTATATTAGCACGTTAAAATCATAAAAATAAAATATTAATTTAAGATTTTCAAAGGTAAATATTAAAAAAAAATAAAAAATAAAATCCACTGAACCTTCAATAGGCTGCAACACCCCGTGATAACGTGCCTCCTACTTATTATCAAATTATATGAAAAAAGAAAAGGGTAAAGTTAATCATGAATTGGATCTAATAAAAATATCATGCTTCTTTCTTTAAGGACAGCAATGCCATCAGATTTTAATATTTATTAGCTTTATTAATAAAGTAGTCAGTGCAAATGATAGATAATTTGGCTCGTAAATTCACTCAGTGGAATACACAGTGGGCATAAGCTCAGACATCCCCGGCACTCGAAATGTTTGCCTCACGTGACAGCTTCAATTTAGGGACGCCCTCGGCAGTCGGCTCCCCTGATGCTTGCAGCTTCCGGTTTTCCGCCTATGATCATAAAGATCCTAAGGAGTTTTTAGGAAATAGCCTTATCAAAATCAAAATTATATCTTCTGACCCCCTTATTTTATAAAATTCATATTCGTTGCTGTTATCCATGAGGTTAGAACTCTTAGCTTTTTAATCTTAATAAAATAAATAATTATAAACACATTCAAATTCATATTTCGCTTTATCAACTACGATCACTGATAAATCTATGGATTTTTTTATTTTTGTTTTAAAAAACTCGTTCTCTTCACTTTCTATTCACATTAATGTTTATCAAAATATCAATTAAAACTCAATCTAATTAAAAGATTATTTAATATTGTAGCAGCTTTTCTTTTTAGGTACCAATCTCATAGAAAAAAATTATTTAGTTAGATAAATAGCTTACATTTGTTGCACTGAATCTTGCACATAATTGTATTTCAAAGTTTGTTATGTAAAGGTTAAAATAATATTTTTTTATTAATATAGTTTTAACAAAACATATTTTTTTTAAAAAATCATAACTAAAAATATTTTTATTAAATCTATATTTCTAGAATGACAATCATAAAAACTATTAATAATTTTTTTTATGTTTTAAAATTATTTTTGTGTATTAACATTAAAAATAAAATAAAATAATATTTTAATATATATTTTAATAAAAAATAATTTAAAATAAAAAATTAATCAAATTCCCAAACATCACCGAAAGAAGGTCACAGAATAGTAACGTCTTTGATGCGCCAAACCTGGTAAGGATCCGAAAGGCTTGCAAAGAAAAAGAAACGAAAACGAGAATATAGATTTGCATATACAAAGGGCATATGATTTCTTTTAATATAAACAAGCTGATCGTGCCGTCCAGCCGACGATTACGGGTGACTACGTGGGACCCTCCACTTTTATACTCTCTTTCCCTCCTTATGCATCCTCTCTTTTCACATTTCTCCTTCTCTCTCATACTCTACCTCTTGAAAGCTTCCTTCTCTTTTCATCATCACTTTCTGCTCCCTTCCTTTCATGGCTTCTTCAAGGGAAGGACACTACAGGGGAGTTCGAAAGAGACCATGGGGTCGCTATGCTGCAGAAATACGTGACCCATGGAAGAAAACCCGGGTATGGCTAGGCACATTTGATACACCTGAAGAAGCTGCTCTTGCTTATGATGGTGCAGCTCGTTCTCTTCGTGGAGCTAAGGCGAAGACTAACTTCCCATCACCACCTTCCACTTCTGGTCTCTCTCTGGACCTCAATCTTCCATCCGACCCTCACCACCACCACCTTCGTTGGAGTTCAAGTCCTCATGTGGGGTCCCACAGGTTTGGTGGTCTTGGTGAGTTCTTGCAGACTGGAGTGGTTTTTAAAGAAATGAACTTCAATGCTACTGAGGCTGCAGCGGCTTCTGGGCCAGTCGTGAAAATAGAGGGTCCTAGTGTTGGTGCTGTAGCTGGAGCTCCGGTGCCGGAAAGTGTTGCTCCGGCTTCGTTTTTGGGGATGGTGCGACGTGGGTTGCCAATAGATTTGAACGAGCCTCCACCTTTGTGGCTGTGACTGAATATTAATAGTAACAATTAACTGATGATGACGATGAAGAAGAAGAAGACGGTCTGTCTCTTTTTGTTCTTCTAAGGCATATCTTGCGGCTGGTTTTTATTATTAACCTTACCACTATCTCTTATTTTCCTTTTTTTTCTCTTTTTTTTTTTTCCCTTCCTATTGCACCGTCTGCTTCACCATCTACACCTTGTATCAAGGCAAGAAAAGGGAGTATTATTAACAACAAAATATTTATAAACTAAGAATCATGAAGGAGTTGTTTGTATATATATAATGTTTTCTTAGTTTTAATGGAAAGTCACTTCTTTTCGTCCGTTCTATTATATTCTTGTCGATCCATCTCTGCCCTTTTCCGGCCTTGATGGATTTGCCATCCTGGTTTAGACTTTAGACACACAAGGAAGAAAAAAAGAATTATTGGATGCAAAGGCTCCTTTTGTTTGCCTTTATGCGATTTCCCCTCACGCGCTTGCCTGTTTCGAGACGCGCTAGAAGTTTGAGCTTCTGCTTGCGGCAGTCTTGCAAGAACCAGTGTTGAGTGCTTTAAACCTCACTTGTAAAGACATCAAGGGCGGGGCTATAAAATCTATGTGGGTGCCGGTCGGCTAGTGAACATATTAAGATCATACAGTTATTCAAACATACCAAAAGCGGATTCGAAAGTTACATATTAAGGACCATTTTGTAAGTTTTGTCATTGCAATGACCATTATGTAGAAAAACTTCAGACTTATTTGCAAAATTTATAATACTTATCTTTAACAATTACTAGATTTGCTATTATTAGTTTGAGTGCTTTGTATTTTAGAGTTGTTGAAGGCTTACAAATCCATGAAATTAGTTGAAGTATATATAAATTAATATTTTATAATAATTAAAAAAAATACTTCTTTTCTAATTTTGGGAGAGTCTTGGCCCCGCATGCACTCCCTAGTTTCCACCCATTCTGATATGGGAGCAATAGTCCTTCTCAGCATGATTGATATGAAAAAAAAGAAACGATATAATATTGTTAATTGTATGATTAATCTATTTTATCAAGTAAAAAATGGCATATGAATGGCTTGGAGTTCGATTTCGGAATTTTGGGAATCGCATATATACAGGCGCATAGATTGGGTGAAAAAGACATCATTTTTTAAATTAAATGACCAAATTGCAACCTTCATCAAATGTGGGGTGTGTGTTTTGTGTCCTAGAGGCCCACCTCCCAACAAGCAGCCTTTCTTCCTGTGAAAAAGCTCTCCAAAAAACTGTTCCATCAATTGATTAGTGGGAGTGCTAATTAAGGTTGTTAAAAATTAAACACAGCGAGAATCGATGGTTTTTTTATCTTTAATTTTTAATTTCTGGTTTATGTTATATCACGAGCTAAAGACATAACTATTATATTGATAAAGTTTAGCTTTTTTAAAAAAGAAAGGAATACACTCTTTTCTCTTCCTTTTGGATCGGATCGGTTTCCTTTTGCAATTCCTGTAAACAATAAGTTACACAGTAAAATAAAAAAAATATTTTTCAAATAAAAAGCATTTAAGTATGAGATTAAGGGTGTGTTTTTTGTTTTTCACAATAATTTTTTTTATTTTAATATTTAATTAAATAAAAAATAAAAAATATATACCGGCGTACTTAGAGGTGTCCGAGCCTTTTAGATAATATGCGTGACGTCTTCTCACATCTAAAAACACCCTTCTACAATGTTGTTGGAAATGTCACCGTGTTCTATTTCTATTGATGCAACATGTGTCTATGTGAATGATCTAGTTTGTTTTTCGTTGGTTTTTTTCCTCTTTATCTCTCTTTATCCCTAGAAAAATATAGATTAACCCATTATTGGTATTTTAATTTCAGTTCTTATTATTTTGATTTTTTATTTTTTTATTTTATCTATTTTATATTTATTTATTTTTAATTTCATCATTTAATTTTAATTTATCAAATATTATATTTTTTAAATTGATCTTTATTATTTGGATTTCTAATTTTTTGTCTAGGCTTTTTTATAAAAGTTTTACTAGTTTTAATCTCATCCTTTCATTCAAATAGATAGTATTATATTTTTTATTTTGCTTCTCATTGTTTTGATTTCTAATATTTTTTTCTTAGTTTTTTTTATAACAGTTATTATTCTTTTTAATCTTACCCTTCAATCAAAACATTATTTTTTTATATTAATTTTAACCTTTATTCTTCTTAATTTTATCCTTTAATATTTAATTGACTGAGAATTGAATTTTTTTATTTTTTTTAAATTAAATATTTTAGGTCTAATCATCTAGGTCATAAGTTTGAAAAATTAACATAAATTTTATAATTTTTTATAATGCTTTTACCTATTTTAATTTTATAGTTTAGATAATATGTTTGACATGATATTTCGGTTCATTTTACTCTATATCAGTACTTGTATCACTTATGTCAATACTTTGCACATCTTTTTTGCAAAAAGAATAGTTAGTTGATTTGATGGTAGTGAGTTCAATCAAGCTTTTCATTGTTAGCAAGTATATTTTCAAATCATTTTTTTGTAAAAAATTTCATTTTCTTTGTCCCTTTTAAAATATCACTTTATCCGTTTATCATAATTATTTCTCACTTTAGAAGATAAAATGGATGGATTTGGCTTAATTTCCCTTTTTTTTGTTTCATTTTTCAATCTTCAAAAACGTAAATTAAGGACATATGTGTTTGGATTCTTTATTCAAAAAAGCAAAATCAACAACCAATATCAATATAATTTTTGAAAATCACTTTGTTTGCATTTGAAAATTTCTGACAAGCAACTGTTAGGTGTTTACATCTTTTGAAATAAAAAAAAACAAAAACAGATAAATGCTCTCTTTTTTTTTCAAACTCAGTTTTTAGAAATTGGAAAAAAACAAACAACCGAAGTGGAGTAATTTTTTGCATGTTAAATCAGAACCTCGTCGTTAGCGGCTGTGTAAAGGCAACACGATTTCGTATAACAACCTCTTCGATTTATAAGCTAGACGAGGTACAAGGGACCACCATCCCTAAACAAAAACGTTGCAACAGTTACATCTGAAAGGCTATAATCTAAACTAGGATGATTAATTTAGATTAATTAGGACAGTGAACCTGGCAAGCCATTTCCTTGGGTCCTTGGAAACAAGGTTGACTGGTTTGTTTGGGAAAAAGAAGTACAGGCCAAATCTAAATGCTCTTCGCCATGTACAGACCGTAAGGTACTTGAACAATGGAAAGAAGAGGCATTCATGTTTTGTTTTTTCCAGTTAATTAACTGATTAGGCACTCATGCTAATTAATCCTCAGTGATGATTAATTAAGGCGGCACATGGATGGAACTGAATGATTGATGGGGCTGTAAAGAGAACTCCTCCTCCCTCATGGCCTGATATGTAAGATGGTACGTACACGTATAAAGAAAGCATTTTTAGATTCCACTCCATGATCATAGGGTCAAGAATCAGTCCAATATTCAAGTTGTCTTGTTCAATGATCTTATGAGATAGTATTCGAATATTTTATGGTAAAGGAAAGGGTCCAGATACCACTGAAAGATTGAAGATAGGAATTAGGTAACGACAGCAGCCAGGTATCCCTAAAAAAATTTACCAGTTGCCAAAAAAAAAAAAAAAAACAACCTTGTCAAGATGTCGTATTCTCGTACATGTTTGTGGCCCGAACAAATACTGTAATGTAAGTGGGGCAAGAAGACTGGAAAAGAGTATAATGTAGCAAAAAAGAAAGCTTTAATTTATCGTATTTTTAATGCCTCTCCCTTTCTTGGCATTGTAGATTTCATATCAAAGTAACTTGTAGATTCTTTTGAGCTTTGAATAATTTAGGAAGATGGTGAAAATTATAATAGACAGAGATCGCCACAGTTGACCGGTCAACCTTTTCATTTTCTGCCTTTTTGTCGCTGGACGGTGGATTTGTCTGCTAAACAAGTAAATCTCAACGAGAATCCTCAAATGTGCATCATCTAGCTATTTTTTTAAGAGAAGAAAGGGGTGGAGATGGGAGAGAGCTCTCAATGTCCCCCTCAATTGTCACTTTTCGGTATAGTAAAATGCCAGCCATTGTCCCACTCGTTCGTGATTCATCATCCATCAAGCAACATTCCTCTTCCAAATCAAAGTCCTGTTCTTTGGTACAGAATGCAAGTCATTTTTATTTATTCATTCATTCTCAATTATTTGTATGCTTTGAACAAAAGAGTAGTAATATATATTTGTGTATTATTATGCGTGTTATTTTTAATAATACATCCATCACACATGTCAACACACCAGCTCCATAAGAGTAGACCTTCTTTTTTCCTGGATTTTTTTTTTAAAAAAAAGCATGCACACATCTCTTAATTCTTTATAGTGTAGAGCAAGTTAAGAGAGAACAAGAGAGAATACGAGGGGAGAAGAAAACATAGCGAGATTTGGGATTGTGAGAAACTTGCACCGAGGAGAAAGTGATTTACTATTTCTTTGAAGCTAGTGAATTAATTATTCTATTTATCTGGCCATGAATGTTTTCTCATCCTAAGTTTTATAGCGTTAAAAAATATTGGGTCATTTATTGTTATTTCTCAATTATTTAATTATGTGAAACTCGCCATTTTGTGTGCATATTTGTTCCTTGGGCTATTAATTTAAAGCTTAATGGTGTGTCCAAAGTGCATTTAGTTTTTGGATCGAATTTTGGGTAAACGAGTTGTTTATTTATTTTGCTATTAACTTGGACGTGGTCCCGTTAATGTTTCCTCATCCTGAGATTTTAGCCATTGAATTCGAGATTAGCGTTGAATTCAATCCATGAAATTGACAAGAAAAGGACAGGGAAGTATATCAAAATTAACAAAGCAGGAAGCAATGAAGACAATCTCTCTAAATAGATGAAGGTTTTGGAAAGCAAAAGTATAGTAATTTGATTAATTTATTAAAAGACGCGTGGAAAGGCAAGAACGGTGATTGAGGTTTAAAGGCACTTGTGCCACGAGCATTTTGGGATGGGGATGATGGTGAATATGTTTTTACGTGGTATTGATTTTATTAATTTTAAATTATATTTATTATTATTAAAAAAAATTATCTTTAATATTAATTTATTTTGAATTAATAGATCTAATATTTAATTAATAAATATAGAATAAAAATAAAGCTTGTAGAACAAAAATACTTTATAAACAAATATAAAAATGTTATAATTATGAGTTTTTATGGTATTAAAGTATTATTCCTGATTAATATTCCATTAAAATTGAATATTAATTAAAGATGTTG